ACATTTTGCCTCGAACTCCGCACCTGAGTTTGAGTCTCCTTGTTTGCCCGCGCCGCGCCTACCCATCAACTTGCCATAAAACCCCGTGACACACAACTAATTAATATCCTCGCAAAATTAATTCTTGTCCAAGAAGTACTGAAAAATGAATTATAGAGGCGGATTGAAAATTCATATGACACACGTCGCGAAATACCGCTTGGTGTACTCAATATGCCGTCACCCTCGACACGGATGAGACTCACCGTCGAGCAAAAGCGCTCACTATTGATGTATCACAAGTCCAATCCTGACATAAGAGGACTTGAACTGCAAAAATGGGTTCAGCGTGAATTTGGACTGCCACATGTTCCCCAAAAGTCGACGATATCTCGTTGGCTAAACGATCAGAGCAAGCCCATGGATGTACATCCGTCACACAAATCAGCAAACTGGCCCGCCAACCCGAACTGGAACGTCGACTAATGACTTGGATTAGAAAGTGTGAGGAGTGAAAGGTCCCCATTGTAACTGGACCGACCATCCATCCGTGCCAAGGCGATCGCCATACGAGATGCACTCCACAGTTCATCACAGTCTACAGATGATCTCGCCATCATGAGGTTTTCGAACAGCTGGCTCTACCGCTTCCAACTGCGACACAACTTGAAGTCCCGCGTTTTGTCTTCTGGAGGTTGCCAGGGTATCAACCCCCTCCTGAATTCGAATATGATGTCCGTTTTTGAAATCAAGCACAATACTGTACCACATGTATATTCTTATCCTATCAACACCGAGCGACCCATCCTGTTTAATTTTGTACTTGTGTAAATTGAAAACCCTTAAAACCATATCGCCAACAAAGGTTCCCTATTGCGAGGGACTACTGTACTACAGTAATACCAGTACGCAGCAAAAAAGGCGCACGGAACTCCACGCAAACGATGGCTACAGTGTGCCAACGTTGGTGTCGATTTCCTTTTCGCGGGGCTCACGTGCGTCGTGTTCACCGTCGTCACTTGCATGTGCGTGGATGAATAGGCTGTGGAGCCCTCCACTGACATGGTTGCGTGGCGACAGTACATTCCCCAGTACTGGGGGCTCACTGAGTGTCGGTCGATGCTGCACCTGCTTTAGCGAGTAAGGTCCCCAACGCAGTCGCAGGGATTGCGTCGCGTTCGACGAATTCCTATTGTGTGGACGATTTGACCGGCATCCCGGGACGTGGCCGGGAAAAACTGCACGATCAGGTGGTGCGACTGCACCATGTAGGTGCATGTCGCTGGCGGCATCGTCGAGATCTGCGAATTGTGTTCGATTGAGTTCCGTTAGAACAGAACAGTTGCGGCGGTAACGACTCTTGTTTTGCCGTGATTGACTTCATATTCAGCCTTCTCCCGTTGTTTGGCGTGTGTCGCGTGTTGCGGTGCACACTGGCGACCAAATGCGCTGTATTTGCATCATACTGTAGTCGGGCAGTTGGTGACCATGCTGTCAATTGCGGAGGTCGTGGATGGCAGGACGATGAGCTCATCGTTCAACTACGACGCCATGGCGTTTGCGCTGCTGCCGACCGTAACGACTGGTCAGCTCTCTTGGAAGTTGTCGCATTTGTCATGGAGTACCGCATGACACAGGTTGAGGATTCGTCCGTGTCCCGCTCGAAAGAGGCCATCTCGCTCGGTGACTTGTATGGCGCATCGCTTGTCATTGCAAGCGTGATGTGGTTGATGTTACCGCGCCACAGGGACGAGATCTACACGTAACGCCAGCAACGCAATAAGCTCCGACGGTCGCAGATGGCTTGTACGACGTCGGCCGCCGTCAACGTCGAACTCGATGGAAAGAGATATATTTGTGCTCCATTGATGCATGGCATGGGTTTGAGTTGACCATTGTGTGCAGCTCATGGACTGTGCTCTCCACAAACTTGTTGTACAACTCCCGTCCATGGATGTTGAAGGCCGCGGGCGTTCATCGACAGCACCTTCACCAAGGATACACCAGGCGTAGATCTTGGGCCCAGACAGGTCGCCGCGGAGCCGCCGTCTTGACATCATTACGCATGACGGCACCCTAGCCACATGGCTGCTGCGCCCAAGCCACCCAAGGCAGTACGGCAGAATCATCTGGACACCGAAGTGGTTCGTGTTCGTTTGTCTCGCGCGATCTTAGACGATGACATATTTTCTGAGAGAATATGGTTCGTTTTTTACTTTCACTGGGGGCAAACTGCCAAGATTCTGTGATCTGATTGGTTGAAAATAGAGAAGAAAAAGCTCAAATCGTAATCTGACACATTGGCACTGGTGCCATCCAGTAACATCTTCCGCCGCCTCCTACTGTGCACAATGTGGAGCGCATGTAATGGTGCGGCGGGAGATCGCAACTGGTGATCGGAGGTGGGGTGGCCAGAGCACGGACACCAGTGCTGCCCCATCCGCGCGCACTTTCGAAGATGGGGTGCGTAAGCTCCCGCGCAAAGTCCACCGACGAGTACGCTACGGCGGTGGATAGAACAGAGAGGACGTCGGGAACGGCCCTCAAGTTCCCCAACGCCATCCCTCTCGGGTCCACCGACGGATGCTACGACTTGGAGTCGAGTCATGTTGAACCGACAATCAACACCGCAAGCACTGATAACGACACGTCCCATTCGTCGCTGTCGTCCTCCACATTGACGGCAGACCTCCCAGTCCCCAGCCCGACGAAGCCTCTATCTACGACGGCGGCGTTTGCCACCTGGATCAACAATCTCAATGAAGATCCATTGCTCGCGACAGTCGCCATTCCTTACGACTGTCTCCTTCTTCAGAGTTCCAGCCGACCTACCGGCATCTTCGGCAACGTTCATCGTGGGACCTACCAAGCGATGGCAGTCGTTGTCCATCGCTTGGATGCGTCCAAAATCAACGAGCGTCGTCTCCGTATCTTCAAGGACGACATCTACTTACTCATGCGTCTGCAGCACCCCAACATTGTCCAGGTATGTGGAGACTTGGTCGGTCGGCCGGGAAGATCGCTCACATGGCTCGTCCACTGCGATAGTTCATCGGGGCGTCTTGGACCGCACCACCCACGAGGTACCCTACGATGCAATCGTGGCAATCGACTTCCCCTTCTGACATTTGTGCGTTGCCATCGCAGCTCGTCGGCGTGCTGTTGCCTTGTGATGGAATACCCTCAACGCGGTGACTTGTACTCGATGCTGCGGAGCCCGAAGTACAAGCTCACGTGGCAGAAAAATCTGCTTCGCATTGCCATGGATGTCGCGGCAGGCATGGCGTACCTTCATTCGTGCAACCCGCCCGTTCTCCATCGCGAACTACAAAGCCTGCACGTCCATGTCACGTACGCACTCGCCATCAACTGGCACGTCCCTCTAACAATGATTGTAGCTCCAACTACGTAGGCAAGATAGCCGACACTGCGTCGACGCCGTCGCAGGAAAGCAGCAGCGGGTCGCGTTGGATGGCGCCGGAGCGCATCCTTGGGGAGCCGTACGACGGCAAGGCGGACGTGTACAGCTTTGGCATTTGTACGACCTGACGAAGTACAAGAGACCAACACTCACTTGGGAATGCTTGTAGTGCTGTCGGAAATGGACACGAGCAAGATTCCGTATGAAGAGATGGCGCGCCACCGGCCGACAAAGTACACCAGCATGGAGGTAGCCCCACGAGCCTGTGGAGAGGAATGAAGAGTTGTGGTAACGATCGTGTTGTAGAAGGCAACGCGAGCGTCGACGGAGCTTCTGCGCCGCATCACGACTGAAGGACTCCGTCCACAAATGGCCGTCCATGGCCTCGCCACCGTCCGTTCGCTGTTCACCCGATGTGTCAGCGTCGACCCCATGGAACGACCGACGTTTGAAGAGATTGTGACGTTCTTGAAACACGACGTCCAGGACGAAATCAACGTTCGATTTCCTTCCACAAGCGGACTCTTCTGGCCAACGTGAGGGGTGCATCCGTACTACCTCGCTCACCGTACGAGCCACCACAAGCACTTCCACTCTCCCCTTCTCCCCCAAATTTCCTGGTGACGAGGGTACCCGAGCTCGTGACTGCGCCAACCGCGTCCATCGACGGACAAACCAGGTGATGCGCTAACAAGGTCCAGGACGAAGCAATCCAGCTGCGCATCTGCATACTCTCTGCTCCTCAAGCAAGCGAATCCTTTCCTCGAGCTGCATCGTTAGGATATGTGGTCAAGGATCGAGTGCATGGCTTCGACACGTATGTGCCTAAAGGTCGGCCAACATTCATTTGCATGCACGTGTGTGCTGATTGACGGCACGTGATACTCACAATAAGCTGTATATTACGCTGGAACGTTGACATATTTTCTCCGTGCAGTGGTGAAACGAGCGCCCGACGCTGTCCCCACTGGACAAGCCGCCGGGTCACGCATCGTTGTCAATGTACTGCGTTACGTGGTTGACGCCAAGTTCTTGGGCGACAATCGGGTCGTTCAAGTCGACTTGAATCGAATCGTTCACCTACCATCACACCATCATGGTCCCAGTCATGACGAAGCACTCGATGACGTACTGCGCGCTGGAGGATCTCGCGTTTCACGTTTGTTTCGAGATCGACCATGATCTCTTCAAACGTCGGTCGCATGTCAGGGTCGTCCGACGTGCATCGGACAAAGAGGTTGCGAACACTGTCGAGGCACTTGGCGCTCATGTTTGGTCGTAGGTTCTTGTACGCGACCATATGCATAAGCGTGCTTCCGGCAATCTACGCTCCATCAGACATTGGAATTGGCATGTTGGCTTACGCGTTTCTTGGACGTGCCGACGTTCTTGATGTCATGGTATGGAATGCGGCGGGTGTCCAACTCGGTGAGCACTACAGGTATATTACCATGTGCAGAGCCACGAACGAGAGCACATACCAATGCCAAAGCTATACACGTCGGCCTTCTCCGAGTACCGCTCGGCGCGGATCATCTCTGGTGGGAGCCACAGCGGTGTCCCGGTCACGCTCATCGTGTCGTCGAGGACCTTTTCTCGACTCAAGCCGAAATCCGAAATTTTTGCGCCGAACGAAGAGCTGCATTCAATAAAAGATCGTGAACGTCTCAAAAAAAACGATCGAACAACATTCCTCGTGTTTAGAAAAGGTGCAATAATGTCCCAAAGATGTCGAAAAAGTACCAAACGATCAACCCACCCCGAAATACGGCATGAAGTACCTGACGAGAATGTTCATGCTCTTCAGGTCCCGGTGGATGATGGGCGGGTCCATCGAGTGCAAGTATGCCATTCCGCGTGAGATGTCGATGGCCATGGACAGCAGTGGTTGCTTCCACGAGAGCTGGACACGGGGATTCTTGAGCACCGAATACAAGTCGCCGCGGTCGAGGAACTCGGTCACAAAGCAACTGGGCAACATCAACGTGTCGATGGTGAGCCATAAAGGATGGAAAGGAAAAGGGTCGGACAGTACATGTTGGAGTACGAGTTCCAGCTCGCACCGATGAACTATGACACAACGATGAATCGCTCGACAGCACACGCAGTGCCGTGGCTCTACCTGGACAATGTTGGGGTGGCGGAGATTCATCATGAGTTGGATTTCATCGGCAAACATACGAATGTTCTCCGGGTCGATCTTCTGACGCACCATGCGCTTCACGACGACAGGGGTGCCGTGGTATGTGCCCTTGATCACTTCGCCAAATGCGCCCTGTCCAATGATCTTTTGCAGCTTGAGCTCTTTGAAGTTGATTGCCGCCATGCGCAGGTGAATCCTCGAGTCCAATATGGAGTCCACAACGACCTTTTCACCGTCCTTGAACTCTGTGAACGTGACTGTGCCTGGTTGTGGTAGCAGTGGTTTTGGTTTCGTCAGTGAGGCGTCAATTGTGGGTGCCGCGACGACCTCTTGAACAGCCACTGGTGCTGGCGCCTGTATTGCATTTGGTTCGGTCGCGGGAGCAGGTACCGGCACTGGTTCAGGCGCCGGTGGCAGCACAGGTTCGTACACGTCGCTCGTGCCCTTGCTTGAGCCACAGCCCATCCTGATCGACTGCTTTCGAACTGGTCGATGCAGTCGTCGGCGTCGGGATGTAGAAAAGACGGTGCTACTCCATTACCAACTTCGACCGGATATTATCCGTATGTTCGCTTGCCCATACTAGAATGAATCGTAAGAGCAGAAAAATATTCTTTGTAGAGGACGCGAGCTAACCGCAAGAAGTTGACGAGGGGAATGGACAAAACGACGAGTACAGGCAATCACAGCACTGTAAGTCTTTATCGATATTATGGTGGGCTTGTGGATGAATTGTGATAGAGAACGCTACGAAATGGTAATTCACCATTTAGACCCAAACAACGAATTTTCGATATTTCACAATGACAAAAGGTCCACCGCAGTTACCTGTGACATTTTTCGCTCCTTTACTGTAGATTTTACTGTGAAGAAGCATAAACTGTACCTTGACGGCGAATAAATGCAATCGATTACTCGCGGGTTCGAATGTGTTTCAGTCCAATTCATACTTTTAACAAGCATGTCGAATTTATGCAGTTTCTCTCCTGTCGTGATGTTTTGAGGACTTGAAAGCATTCAATATTAGTGATATACGTGAATATATAATTCGACAGATTTCGCAAATACTCGTGACTTCTGTAATATTCAATGGTCCGGTTGTCAATGCTATCCGGATTCTTGGATATTCTTCGCAAGTGCGAATAGTATTGTTCTGGCATCGCTTGAGGTCGAAGCATGCACGGTCACGTCGACGACAACAGCTTAGAGACGCCGCTCGTGGACGAATCCGCCCCTGCAATAGCAGGACGTATACCGAATGAATCATTGACCATGAAGTCAGGCCATGCACCATGTGCGGTTGCTGCGCCTTCGGCTGGGCCGAATCCCTATGCTGTGCCCCAGTACGACCCTTCCGATAGCTTTTCCGGCCACGAGGCTGGCTGGCCTCGACCAAGCATGGCGAGATCGAACTTGTCTCCGTTGGGTTCGCGGCTCGACGTGTGGGTCAGCGGCATCTACACGGTTGTGGCAGGTCTCACGATGATTCAAGGGTTTGGAATCCTGTTGCACTTGAATCTCACATCGGGTACGTCAGCCCTGCTACTTATGGTGTGACTTGATCATGTAGTGATCTTGGGGATGTACCTCATGGCGTTTAGCGCGGGATTGGTCCTGTACGACTTAAAGAGCGTCGTGTGTGGAGTGACGTTGGAGACTTGGTTTCCATTTCTCGGCAACTACCTCGGTCGCGGGTTCACGTTGCTGTTTCTGTTTGCGTTGAATGCACAGAACTTTCAGTTTTTTCAGCTGCCGATGTGGGTCACTGTCGTCGAAGGCATTGGGGCAGCCCTGCATTTTGCCATCTTCATGACGACGCAGCCTCAATAAAGTCGCGTAAAAATTGTGTGATTTATCGACAGTCTGTGCATATTCCACACTTCTCATCCACGATCTGTAGCTTCCGAGCTCTCAGCGCTATCGTCTGTGGATTGTCTGTTCGATCAGTAGTAACCTCGTTTGTTCGAATTGAAGATCCTGTGCGACAAGTTATGCTGCCGCAGGATGGGCTCTCAGGATGTAAATCCACAAGGGTGAATGCATGTCCCTTAGAGGCAAGCATGATGAATTGAGAAACACTGCGGGGGGCTGAGTTGCACCGGTGGCATTCCGAGCATCCACAAGTGTAGTTTGATGGCACGACATTTGGAGACAAGAGGGCAGTGGTCCCGTGGCGCGCTTGATAGGCGAAGCTAGCGTTGTGTTGGGGCCCTCTGGTCGACGCCTGCCATGTAAACCACAAGAACCACCTTCTCAACACCCGCCATGGCTTATGTAGCTTGTTAAAAGCTTAATCACGGTGGAATAAGGATTCACAGAAGTAGTAGGAGTGGCGTTGGTAATGGTGGATGTACTGATGTAGATGTGGTGGTCACATGGGCTGTAGGCATAGGTGTAGTTGTGATCGGTAGTGCCGTTGTCGCAGGCACAGCCGTGGTGGTGACAAGCGCAGCAGTTGTGGTAGGGGCAGAAACTAAAGTTCGCGGAGGCAGAATTTGCTGACCAGTAGGGGTTGCAGGCTCTTAGGTCGACTATTGTGTGTTGTACGATGAAGTTGTCGATGATTTTGTCCTATATACCCCACGGTTGACCGCCTCCGATGTTGGTTGTGTGTCGCGATCCCCATCGAAGACTTCGCGCCTCTCTGCTTTCAGCTGCATACGCTGACCAAGCAATGCATTCGAGTACGACGAAGGATGTGTTCGAGCGCGTATATGAAGGCACTTGCAACACAGCACTGCCAAGGCAAGTGCGTCGCATGGATGCCAAGCACTAGGATGAACGTGTGGCGGCTAGCACACTTGAAGATTCAGAGCATTGTGAGGAGCTCGCCACCAGCATGCCATCCAGTGCCAGTCGTAGACACACGATTGGAGCCCAGCGTTTGGGTACGTAATACTGCTTCCTTGGCAGCAAACTCCGACTGTCGAGCATGATTGCAGCTTGCACAAGGAGTCGAATAATGCTGGAGAAGGGAGGCATGGTCACAGGATATGAAGATCACAGCGCGTTGGGATGCTCGGTATTCATTCCAACATCTTAATAAGTTGCGAAGAGCTTTACACGCGACGCTACGAGGTGCATTAGCTTTGACCGTGCTGTCTACTGAGGTACTGCTGCACAATATGGCAGTGTCCTCGACATTCGACTTCATGTACAGCCGAAAAATCTTACGCTAGTAAACTTTTAAACGTGGCTCATTCCTTGTGGTGTGGATCCTCTCCACATCATCACGCTAGCTATTCCAACGGCGCCCACGGCCCGATCGGGCACATCCAAAATAGAGGGTCTTGTCGAGCGAATTGCCGGTAAATCGAAAACTGTGGCCCTTTCAATCTCGACCTCGGGGAAATGTAAAATGCCATCCAGATGTGCGCAGACGGTAATGTACTCTCGATTTGCCGTGATCACTTCCATCATAGCGCCGCTGTGAGGAGCAAACAGTTCATGCAGTTTTAAAGCTCCGCTGCGGCTGCACGCTTAAGCCAACCGACACTCGTAAAGACCTGTCTATCCTCGGCAGAGAATTTCTTTCGTTCAATCCACCAGCCCATCAATCGCTTGCGACCTGTTATTCCCCGTGGGACGAGGCGCATCTCTTGTCTCATTTCTTTAAAGCTCGCTACGGTGCGCGAAGAGATGGCGGCGCCATCGCTTCTTGACTGCCTACAAAGTGCTGGATGTCGCGTATTTGTCTTCCTAGGCGGTGTTTCGTTGCATCGTTTATCCGTGGTCTTGAACACCCACGCGCCGACACGCGCCTTGCTTCTTGACGATGCATTCTGGACGCACTTATATCAAAAGCTCTATCACGAGGCCGTGCCTAGCGGATTCAGCCCCCACCGGGCGTTCGTGCATGTGAGCTGTCATTGCGAGTGGTTTGGCGATCACGTGAGCCTGGTCCACGGAGACCTGCAAGGTGTGGTCGACGTGGCGTATCCAAGTATACCGCAGGTGGACGTGCTCATTTTTCCAACAACCCCCACATTGCTGCACCCCCAAGCCACGTCAGCTGCTGGAGCGGTCCACAAACTCGGTCAAGCTGAGCTTAAAACGAAAATCGAACGCGCGCGACAGCCGAACCCCAATATGCACTCCTACTTCCCCCCAGGCACAGCCGTGCACACGCGTGGAGGAGGTCTCTCGCCATGGTTTGCCCACTTGATTCACTGCGTTGGTCCATATAGCATTCAGTCGGTGGAAGCGAAGCTGAACACCATTGCATTGGTATATCGTTCTGCTTTGATGACGGTGGGGACGCTGAAGCTGCGCCGAATCATGATTGTGCCGGTAGGCACAGGGATTGCGCAGTGTCCGGTCCACGTTGCCGCGGAGGTAACGATGCAGTGTCTGTGGGAATTCGCCTTGAGCAAACTCGAATTTTCCCCTGGAGCTCCTCATCTTGACGACGAGCCTCGGTTTGCACTTGATGACGTGGTGTTCTTGTGCCGCGACAAGGAAGTTTTCGATGCGTTCCAGGAGACCAAGCGTGCTTTGCTGGGAGGCGCGTACGAGAAAGCAAGCGATGATGGTGATACCATGTCTATTGATGAAGTTGCCGACGACCTTTGACGGGCTCTGCGAATTCGAGAGTAGAATTTCAACTACACGTAATCGGCATGATGCTGTAGCTTTTCGCCAGTGTTGTGCACGTCTAGCTCTTTCTGCTGCGAGTTTAGTTTCAAGTATCCTGTCGTAGCAATGTGCCGTATCGAATCCAATGTGGCGAAGTTGGGATGATCTAGCAATATGGCCTTGACATGTTGTCTGAGCGCCAGTGCGATGCGTAAGGATGGAATGTAGCTTTACCGCGATGTTGCTTGCTGGTATATCAGCGACCTTTCAAGACGTTTATCGGGCAAGAGCGAACGTCGTTGAATAACATTTGCATTGCAAACATGTCATTGGACGGACAAAATGTGTTTTGACCAATGGTGATCAGGCCCACCATAAATTCTATAAAATCATCGTGTTAAAAGTGTTATGCTGTTCCAAAGGTCATTTCTACAGGCGTATTTACTGGCTTATTGGCAATGAAAACTTCGTCGTTGAGGAGATAATTTCACAGTAAACGCATTGATGCAAATGGAAGAAGGTGGACTTCCACTGACGGGGGACCCATAAAATGTTGTCTGTTCTTGCGAGTACTCTTCTTGCGCGACTTCGAGCCATCTCCGGGGGCCATTGGCGAACGCAGCTTTCATGGCCATTGCAATATGTCGTACGCTTGGCGGAAGAGACAAGTGCACGACATTGAGATTCTGTGCAAGCGTTGGGCTGATACGAGGCTGGGTTGCTCCTTGCTGCGTGTTCGTCGGATGTACATGTACCGGTCCATCGCTCAGGTTATCAAATCAAGGAAAGTGCTGTGGCTATTTTTAACCAATGAAAATGTCATGCATGATTTGTTTAAATTTGGATTGGCTAGATCGAAAAAATATTCGTGCGGTGGTGTTAACTGTAAGCAACGTTCCATGCACGTCTGCGTCGTGTACTGTACCTATGTAGAGTAGCACCTACACTACTTTGGCACTAGCATTCATTTTTCCGAATGCACAGGACACGGGATTGTACACCGCTTTGTTCAGGAGTCCGAGGCCCCGCTGCCACTCACAAACAGCTCTCCCTATATCGATAGACTATGAAAGAGCTCGCGGTACGGAACGTGAGCAACACCGCAAGGAGCCTAAGACCCCAAGCCCCCAGATTTCACCCCCTCCTACAACGACTCTGCATGTTGTGTAAGGCTCCTGGAAAGCTACTACGTTTTACTACGCCCGAGCTCTTCTCCACATCAACCAAATACAACCTGCAACCCTGCCAAATCGCCCAAACCAAAACAAACTTCTATCGACTCGTTGGTCATCGTGCCTACACAGATTCAGCGAGCGCACAAGTTGAACATGAAACGCAGACAGTGCAAACCTGAGATGGCACCCAAACTCCGCCCAAACAAGGACGACACCATCGTGAGATGGGAAGCGCCGCCATCCATCACCAGCTGCCGAAGCCGACGTGTCCATTGGGTCGATTCGAATTCAGGGTGGCGGTGGGCTGTGTTAGCGCGTTATGTGGCGTTGCCGGTGGGACAAGCGCCACGGCATGTGTGGGTTCCAATGTCTCTGTCGATGGACACCGCTAAAGACAGGCAAACGCACCAACGAAACAGGCGTGGCCGTGTCATTCGTGGCTTGTCAGTTCTATACAAAATCAACCCCTTACCTGAGTGGACCCCAACGGCGACAGCAAATCCGGACGCCATTCCCGGGGTTCACTTGCTTGTCAAGGTCTACCTGTCGTTTTCCTTTGTGAAGCATTTGACCTTGAGCAGAGGTGGCATTGGTGGTTTCTACACGCTAAAGCCATGTAGACATCGTGTCGACGAGGTCAAATGACGCCGATTTTCCAACGAAGGACGCGACATGAGCAGTACGTGACACTCCCGATGTACCCATATATATGCCACATGATTGTGTCGACATGTGGGCAGTTCCTCATCCAAGGCCTGGTACCAGTTGCGCATTTTGAACGTGGATCGATCCAATGCGCTTGCTTGGCCCCCTTGCGACGCTGGCGCTCGTGGCTTCTGTGCCGTCCCCGATCTCCCTCCGTCAAAACGATCGAGTCGTCGTTGTGGGCGGTGGGCCCGCTGGGGTCCACTACGCGTCCCTCTTGGTCAAAAAAGGGCTCAGGAACGTCGTCCTTCTCGAAGAGAACGACCAAGTGGGCGGTAAGTCCCGGACTCTCATCGACAAAGACGGCATTCCTCACGAGATGGGCACGTGTTTTGCCAACGGGATCTATGGCCCCATCTTCGACTTGATCAACCAGTACGACCCGACCAACGAAAAGTTTGTGTGGGCCGTCAACACCCCAGGATACAGTAAGATCATGGGCTCCAGTGTTGGTGCCGCAGACTCGGACCCAGTGAAAAATTTGGATTACCCGCACTTTCTCCTTCGCACGATTGCGTTGAATGCTCCCCCGGAGTTTCCAAAAAACGCCACTGTTGCCGAGCTTCAAGGTTTGTTTCAATTGCAGCTTGGGCGGTACATTGCCTTGCACAACGCCATCTTTGGCAAGTACCCGTATGGGCTGCCGCCGCCCCCCAAGGATTGGAGTCTCGTCGACATGACCGCCATGGAGTTCTTGCGCCGCAACAACCTGATGGCGCTGGAAGGCACGCTACGATTTGCCCAACAACAGCAAGGGTACGGTGTCCTCGAGACAATCCCGGTCTTTTACATGCTCTGGTGGATGCACCCGGACCAATTTCTCAAAAAGACCAACGCGTTCTCGTTTCGCAAGGGGTACCAGCACCTTTGGTCGTCGATCCACCAAGCGCAAAAAGGCAAGTTAAAGACCATTTTGAACGCCAAAGTTACCCGTGTGACCCGGGGCGACGCGACGACCAAGGCGCGAGTGACGTACCAAGAAACCAAGTCGGGGGATGTCGAAACGATAAAAGCTGACCATGTTGTGATGGCCGTGGACCTCAGCTTGTACGGTGGTCTCGTGGCGGATTTGGCTCCCGAGGAAAAACAGGTCTTTCAGACGGGGGACTACACGGCGTCGGCATTTCTCACGTCGTTGTACGACTCAGACCCTTCGCCCGTCGAGACTGCCACCATCGCCTGGTACAGCCGCATGAACCAAGGCGGCCGCGTATCGACCGTTCGGAATTCCAAACTCTCGTACGTGTTTACCAACTCGACAGACTGGGGTGAGTTGTCCACCGGGCGACAAACGAAGATCGCGTACCAATACTACAACCAGCCTCTGGCCACAGTTGACGCAACCGCTTCCCATATCCAGCTCCGAGCCGACCTCAACATGACAGCGTCCACGAACGTTCAAGTGAAGTCTCAGTTCCGCACCAACTACTTTCCAAGGTTCACTCCAGCGGGGCTCAAGAAAGGGCTGCCGTGGAAGATTTGGGACATGCAAGGTCAGCGTAAGACGACATGGATCGGCAGTAGTGTCTGCTTCGAGAGCGTCCTGGACGTGGTCATTTACAACACCAACTTGATTGCACATGTTAACGTGACGGAGTCGTCGTCAGATTAACACGAATACCCGGTACGCCTTTGCAATCGTGATGCATCGCCGAGAC